ATTTAGGCTAAGTAGAGTGTTCAGCTTCTTTAATGGGGTTCACTACAGGTTTTTAAAGAATAATTTTGAACTTTAACTTATGTTAGCCTAAGTCAATTGAAACTCAGATTAGCCTAGGCCCTGCCTAGAAATGATTTTGTGGATCCCACTAACCACCAGACTATAGAATGATGTACGGTATTGGATTAAATTGTATTAAGTATCTATAACATGCATGCTAAAAAGGCAGTTTAAGTATTTCTACTGACTTGGATTATTGTTATGTGACTAGGCCTATTTAAATGTCGGACGTGCCCAGGGACGATTGATCTAGGTTAAACTTTTCATTTTTGCAGGGAGACAAAAACACCTAGGGTCAAGAGCTAGACATGATTGTGACAGGGGGCATAAAGTTGTTAATTTTAGTTCAGGATTCAGCTGCTAAGTTAGGTCTGTCGTAAACATCCACGGTAGCTATCATCTGGATGATTTAAGTTATATCGTCAGTAAATTGTATGCGTAAGTTTAACCCTTCGATGGTGTAGTTGATTTTAAAACACGCTTGGTGACACACGGAGTCTTTGGGCGTTGAAAAAGTAAGTTAGACAATGCTTTACATATTAATTTAGGCTAAAAAATATTTAAAACATGTAAAATCAATCAAATTGTAACCTACGTGGAATCAATTAAAACGCTTGGAACTTTACATTTATAAAATATTGCAAACAAAAACCACACGATCAGTGACACACAGAGTTTTTTCCTGGTGTTGAAACGCTGGACAAAAAAATTATCATAGGCTACACAACTACCTATATTAACCAGCAACCTAACTAACTCATATTATAGACTACATAGTACAGGGTGATTACTGGGAAACACATGTTTTTGACTTGCGTAGGCCTAGTATACAAGGAATATCGTTCTGCGACGGCCGGAAGTTGTTGCACTGTTGAGGGGGAAGTGTGCAGTTTCAATTGTTGCCGAGATATGAAACCTTGAGCATCGTACGTTTGTCATGCGACAATATTACGCAAATGGAGAGTCAGTCACTCAGACTCAGAGAGACTTTTGTACACATTTCAACATTGCATGGCATGATGCTATCCCTTATCGTAACACGATAATATGTTAGATACATAATGTTCACAACTATCTTTGCTTAAGAAGAAACCTCCTGGACCGGCAAGGACAGTTAGTAACCCTGAGACAGTTGAAAGAGTGCGCCTTGCAACAGTTCAGACTCCTAGCCTCTCAATTTGGAAGCGGGCATCTGCTCTCGGAGTTCGCCCATCCACTGTGAGAAAAAATTTGGTCAAAGATCTTAAATTTCATCCTTTCAAGCTGGCAGTACGTCGTCAATTGAGTCAAGCAGATAAGAGGCAACGTGTAAATTTTTGTGACACATGAGTGAAATTTTATACGAAAAGGACAAAGCAGTTCCTTAGAGTGAAGAAGCGCATTTCCACTTGGATGGAGCAGTCAACAAATAGAATTTACGATTTTGGTGTGCAGAAAGTCCTCAAAACGTAGCTCAGAGACCTCTTCAAAGCTTGTGTGACTGTGTGATAATAGCGTATACCTATATTGGATTAGGAAATGAATCTATTCTAAACTACAGTAACCTAACATAGGCCTAACTACCGTAACCAAACTTCCTGTAGGCTTAGTTACCGTTTTAAAATTCCCTTTGATAACAGAAAAAGCATATGGGTAATAGGCTATCAAACCGAATTTTGAAATATTACAGTTCATACTTGGTTAGGTTAGTTTAGAACAGTTTCATTTCAATAGGTAGGCCTACCCTATTTTTTTTTTTTTTTTTTATACTGAACAATATTTAGCCTAAGTTATTATCCTCATCATAAGTTAGTTGTCAGCTGTATGTTTCATGTTGTTATCAATATATCGGGTAGAAAAATAAAATATCGATATTCAAAAAGAAATCATCAATAATAATGAATGTTCCCTTTAACAGGAAAGTAGGCTACCGAAATTTCATAGCCTATGTGCTAGTTTTCATCGTTCATTCATATTTTCTCTACATACTAATGAAAACCTTGCTTTGTTTAGCATCGTAATTAAGTTAGGTACCGGCTTTGACTATTAATACAACAACTAGACATTCCATCCCCATGTTAAAGTTGTTGCCGGGTTTTTAATAAAATTTGTCTTAGTTGATGTGGTCCGTACTGATTTCTGCCGGTTACACGATTTTTTTTACCAAGTGAAACTAATGGAATGACTTTATTAGGCCCAGCGCACACAGTGTGACTTTTTTACAACTACAGTTGCGTCTATTGTGTAATCAGTGGAGTGTCAATTTAGTGCAATTTACGTTATTTTAAGGCCTTAAATGCGCTTACTATGTCAGACTTAGACTAAGAAGACGTTATTAGCTATAATCAATACCGAAGACAGCAAAGGATACTGAGAGAGCATTGGGTTCACCCTTATTTGAGCAAGAATGTTAGTACTAGGCTGTGTGTAGCAGCTACAGCTAGTCAGATAGGAAATTATAAACACTAAAAACACTATACGGCCGTTAAAATACCACAAAAACACCCCGTAGTCTCGTGCAACTGAAGTTTACATCGCAACTGCAACGTCGGTCCCACGGTTGTATGTGACTGGTTTCAAACTTTTTTTGAAATCGCATACAACCAGTTGTGTCGTGTGCGCCTCCCCACTGCAATACACTGCCGAGGTCACAAAACAGTTGCACACGCAACTGGTTTGCAACGACAGTTGTAAAAAAGTCACACCGTGTGCGCTGGGCCTTATGAGCTATAGCAACTGTTGTGACCCAGCAGTCAGTAACAAAAAATAAGGTACAAAATAGAGTTTTAGACACTAGTGCAATCTGTGACTGGCTCACATTCTTTTTCAGTAAAAAATTTGCGACAGCTGATCCATATAGATGGGATGTCTTCTTCTGTATCCAATAGTCAATTATTTATACCGGTAATCAAATGCTTTTAAACAATCATAGGCCTACAGGAGGCTCAAGCCCCGAGTTACCTAAACTTAGTAACTTTAAGATTTTTCAATTCGTAAAAGCTAGCATTATAAATTATTAGTAAATTTACTACGTTAGGCGTGACTTGAATGTTTGACCTTAACAGTACCTACTTAAAAAATATCTACGAGACCCAAAAACAACACAGGGAAATGAACATGAATGAGTATCCCTAAACTGAACACTGAGCTAAGAAGGCTTGAATTTAAGAACACCATGATTTTGTGAACATGCGACGAAATAAGGACCGGTAAGCGAAGTAAAACTTAGTGTAGGCTAACTTATTAAGTACCTTCTTCTTCACCAAGACCAGCTATGCCGGATAGGTTGTTTCATTAGAATTAATGAAATTTAATAAAATAGGCTACTGACTGATACGCTTGTATCTTACTATTTACATATAGGCTATACACGTTACTTATGGCGGTGGATGTAGCCTCAATTTAGTTTCAGTTAATTTTTTTTTTTTTTTTTACTCATCCAGGCTATAACTTATAGAGTGGCCTTCCTACTAGCCATGCATTTAACAATTTATCAAACTTCCTTGTTTCAAGGTTTTAATTTCTTGGGGCAAATTGTTGTAAACCTTGAGCGCTATGGTCGGGAAAGCATTTTTAGGCCCAGCGCACACGGTGTGACTGTTTTACAACAACTGTTGCAAACCACTTGCGTCTGGAACCAGTTTGCAACTAAAAGAAAACTTCTGTCCGCACACGGTGTGACTGTTTTACAACTACAGTTGCGTCTATTGTGCATTCAGTGGAGTGCAAATTTAGTGCAGTTACGTTGTTTTAAGGCCTTAAGTGCGCTTAGTACGTCAGACTCAGACGAAGAAGGCGTTATTAGCTATTATCAGTACCGAAGACAGCGAAGGGTACTGAGAGAGCATTGGGTTCACCCTTATCTGAGCAAGAATGTTAGTACTAGCATAGATTAAACATACTCCCCAAGGGGAGTAGGTATGTTTAATCTATGGTAGGCCTACTAGGCTGTTTGTAGCAGCTAGAGCTATTCGGATAGGAAATTATAAATACTAAAAACACTATATGGCCGTCAAAATTCCACCAAATACCACCAAACACCACAAAAACACCCCGTGGTCTCGTGCAACTGAAGTCTGCAACGCAACTGCAACGTCGGGCCCACGGTTGCATGTGACTGGTTTCAAACTTTTTTTGAAATCGCATACAACCAGTAGCGTCGTGTGCGCCTCCCCATTGCAATACATTGCCGAGGTCTCCAAACAGTTGCACGCACAACTGGTTTGCAACGAAAGTTGTAAAACAGTCACACCATGTGCGCTGGGCCTTAGTTATGTTAAACTTATGCTGGCTATTAAGTTAATAGTTGAAAGAAGCTTATAAGGCTATCTGACTTAACTTAAGCTGAATTAACATAAAGTAAGAAATAATAATTAGGATAATATACTTAAGGGACTTTAATGACATTGTTAGCCCTCCTTGAAATATTAGTTAATTGAGGGTTTATTTTTAGCTTTAGATTTGTTGAGAACGCATAATGGAAAAAAATCAAATGCTGAGGAAGGGGGTTAAGAATATATTGAGCCTAAATGGGATTCTGATCCTAATCCACCTAGGCCAAATACAATGAGGAAATCAACTCCTCTGACAAGTTAGACAAAATAAGTTAGGCTAGGTTAATAGAACAAGCTTAACCTAATAAGCTCATAAACATTTTATTCGCTCACAAAACTAAATGACAAGTCACGGAGTTCTCATTCAATTATTTGTCGTGTTGCATCTACATTCAACATAGGCCTAATGAAATTCATCCCTTTCAGAAATCCTGCGTTCACGATCTTTGTTTTCACGGTGTAATATGTTTTACGGAGATTGCGCTCAGAACTACAGAAGAGATAGTTTTTATTCTAACATGTTGATAAAATACCCCCGGTCCCAAACAAATATAGGCTATATATTTACATTCGGTCTCTTGAATACCTAAATCTATTTCAGATAAATAACATGGCGTTCATACATACGTGCTTCTCCAAAGTTGCTGCAGAAAAAGCACTGAGTCCACAAGTATCACAAAAAGTTATATGTTATGGTTTTATTTCACTCACAGCACACTGCACTTATCCATAAGTAGTTAGGTTAACACAAGTCATTAATTTGTGTTTAAATATCGAATCAATCGCGCACTTAGTGCCAAACATTGTGCTACCAACCAACCTCCATTTTGTTCACTTGTCTTGTCACTTCACTAACTTAGTTACTTCTCTTCTGCTTCTCCTTCTCACTTCAATTCCAAGTTTTGACTTCTGATTCTGAGAGAGGCCTGGAGGGATGACGGTCACGGACTGTGTTAATCATGTGCTGCAGGCTGCCAACATGGCCAACGAAAAAATCTCACAGGGATGCTTAATATATGTATATTTTATTTAACTCAGATATATTCTAGTATAACTAACTTTTCTTTACACGATTTTGTTTTGCTCATAGTGGTTGGTGGCTACAGATATTACTAAATGATGAAAAGGAAGAGCACTTCGAAACATGTCTGAAACTTATTTTTCCCATGTTGATCGATATCAACAATGTGAACACATTTCATATTAATTAGTATTGTTATTTAATTGTTTTCTTATGTTGGGTTAGCTTAGGTAAGGTTATATTACTATTTGCCATTTTTAAAACTCTAGGTATGAAAGCATTACTGTATATCATCATAGGAGTAGTGAAAACAAAGTAATAACATAAAACTCCTAGATTGATAGGCCTAATACCGATTCGATATTTTTCGTAAATGGATTCGGATAACAAAGTTTCGTCATCGAAACCCTCAAGAAGCGCATCGGTCTTTTCGACCAAATTGACCAAATTAACATTTTCTTTGAGAAAAAAGTATAATTTATGAAAACTAATGAATACAAGTACATGATATGATAGTTATACTTATAGAAAAACAGCATCATTTTACATTAATTATGAAAATACTAAATATGTATTTTACAAGTTACACAGGGATCGTGAATGGATCTCACTTGATCATTTTCACTCTGTTCTCCAGCATTTTCAGCACAGGCCACACAAATGGCCAATGGGCTGTACTAATATGATATTATCTACAAAAGCACTTCTTGCAGCGAGCACACGAGGTCTGGGTTTTCCAAAATGTTAATTTGGAAAGTTTTCACAAAATTCCACAACGTCCTTCAACATTTTGGTGTTGTTAATGTTTTGGTCCTTCAACATTAAGGGACAGACATGTAGCATAGATGAAGTAATATAATGTACGTACATGTCTCTCATCTACCAGCTACTCGAGTACTCCTTTATATTCTGGTTGCCTTACCAGTCTGTGCAGAGACGATTTGTCAGGTTCTGGGATTTCGTGACTTATTTGAATTTCATGCAATCTCAGGTGAACATTCACTGTCACTTACCAGAACTTGAGACTTAATCAGAATAGAGATAAAAACCAAAATGTGTATTTTTATGTGTGACATGAATTTAAGCCTTTGAGCAAAGACCTACTAATTGTCCTTTACTTGAACAGTTTAATTGGCTCCGGCATTGACTATATAATACTACAGTAGTGTTATATAGTCAATGGCTCCGGCCTTGTACAGTGTGTGGATAGGCCGACTAGAGTTACACAGGACACTGCCACATACATTGATCACATATTTGTACATTATACATGACACTGCATACACTCACGAACACGCATTCAACATTCACACTGAAACCGGACTTCCTCAAACTTACCTTGACCACTCCCAACTCAACAAAAATCTCTCTCAGACCGACTGGGGACCTGTCCTAAACTGTCTATATGTAAATATTTGCTCTGAACTTTGTTACGAAAATCTTTAATTTGCCTTATAAAATTCAAAATTCACGGGACCCTGGTGGTTTTTGACTCCGACTACAGACTGGACTCTACTTTCACGCTGAGCGGTGGCTCGGCTCCGCTTCTGGACGAAGTCTCGGCTGATTTACTCAAACAAAACGCACTTATAATTTACATTCCGCTGCTATACCTAAATAATCAACCTCTACTGACTGATATATTTCGCTCCGGCTCAATTCAATACAGCACTTTATTTAAAACAGGTGATCCAAACAAAAGACAGAAACAACTTTCTTAAGCGTATTTTCCAAGGTTTTAGAGCGTATTGTCAAGGAACAGTTACGGTAGTGGAGTGCGTTTATAATAAAAATATATTATCTAACTCACAATTTGGGCTTAGAAAAGATACAAACATCTCAGATGCACTTTTTAAAGTATGCCAATAATCTATAAATAACTCAATGACAAATGACAATCGTTCTATCTTAATCTTTTTAGTAAAAAAAAAAAAAACATTTAACTCAATTGACAGTTCTCTCTTAATGTGACCAAGACTAAATTTCTTCCTATATCACTCAGTATCAGCACTGATCTGCCAAGACAATTTGAAGATTCATTGTTGCGGTGACCGTAACAGTCAATCTTGGAATTGTGAATACATTGAAAAGGTAGATTATTATAAATATTTAGGTGTTTATTTTGACTGCCTAATGAAGTGGACAGAGCATGTCGATTTTTTAATGAAAAAGATATGTAAATACATTTATGCTTTTAATCAACCATATTTAAGAATCGACACATCTAACGATACATTTATGCCTTTAATGTGTGTCATTTTAGACGAGGATGACGTGAAGCGAGCTCATTTCGCTTATGTGCAATCCTTGATTTCATTTGGAATTATTTGCTGAGAAGCATGCTATCACATCACCTGGGACCCTTGGATGTGTTTCAAAGATCAATTAATTTTGAAGAAAGCTTTTAGAAGAAAAAAAAATAGGCCTATTCCACTGACGCGCGATTCCATGAGAGTATTACCAGTCGGACATAATTAATCACACGTCACCACTACACAAGAAACTCACAATAAAATATCTGGAATATCTGTTCCTCAGCTACAAGTTCTAACCTCAAACTGTCTTAATATGTTGCTCAGATTCTGTATCGAAATTTCATTCAAAAATACCATATAATATTCAACACGCTTTTAGTTTACCCTCAATACAGAAATTCAACAGACATATCCTTGTTTTACTGCACACAATTACCAAAGAAGAGGCCGGTACATTGACCAGACCTAACCATACTTGACTTGACTCTGACTAAACCGTCCTTGACCCTTCGACCCCTCGCCCTCAGAATGTCTTCTGTCTTAGATTGCACTGGCTTTGCAATGCTGCTTGACGACGCTTTGGTTGTCGTCGCTAACATCCACTCATCCGCAGTAAAGAATGGTTACAATTATTAAGGATTTAAAAATCTTCCGAAATTCAGTTTGTGACCTTTAATCGGGAAACGGAGAACCGGCATCCTCTGGCCCTAATACGCATATAGAAGTTTGGTTAGGTTATCTTAAGTTAGTTTATATAAATATGGCCCCTGAATTTACGACAAGTGGCCGGGGTCCCTATACTCCTTTTAATCTTAGACTGATAACAACCAGGCCTACGCACAGGCACGCGCCAATGTAGGCCTATCCCATAAGTACGGCAAATTTCAACTTACAAACTTACTTCTCTGTCTTTTGGGATAAATAAACGTTTTCATTTAGTTTTTCATTTCATTCTAATGCACATGGTCTTCGGAGCCTCGAAAGCATAAGCATAAGACAAATGGCTGATAAAACCTTCCTCTAAAAACTACTCACCAAATCAACTTTTCCATCTTGCTTGAAAGGAAGTTTCCACGAGACATCAACGCATGTTTGAGCTAGACCACGCAGGGACAAAACTACCTGCGGTCCAGCCCCATTCCTCGATGCATGAGCTCCAGGAACGAGATCTTCACGGACACCGTGGGGGTGGTTTGAGCCTTGCACACTGGAGTTCCGAGTTCTCGAATGAGATTAAATTTCAATCCTAAGAATTTCAACGATTCCAATAACGTTCGTCTTTCATGTTTTACACTTAACATACTTTTAGACCATACCTACACAAGATTCATCTCGTGATAAACATATTTTATCAATAAACTTAAACTTAAATTAAATTAAACTTAAAGTTAAACTTGATTACATACGACACTTAAGGTAAGTTGATTTTCATTAGCAACCTTTGGAATTTTATATTTACAATCAATTTATCAAAGGTTTAATCACGAAATGTAAAAGGTATATGTTTCTAACTGAATGAATTTCTTTGTTGTCACACGTTCCTGGAATAACACGTGCCTGATAAAAAATGGAAACAGTCAGGCACATGTGCCTGAATAAAAGAGCAGCGAAGTTATGAGATATGTCTCAGACGGCCAGACTCATATCCGGGAACAATTTGCTGGGTCTTGTATAACGGCAATGGACCTATAACATAGACCCAACAACAAACAAACTCATTTTAAATTTTGATTTCTACATCCAGAATCTGTAGAAATGTTTATGGTAGAAAACGAATCTAATTATTTATGTTTTTAAAATCACGAAATACACAGTGTCCCAAAAAATACGAATCAAATTGACAGCTTGATATACTTCTTACCAAAGGTCGTAGAAAAGTCAAATATGGCTAATTTTAAAGCTGGAATCTATTCCTTTTGTTTAGTGGTGCCGTTTAATAGTAATCAATAATCAGCTGTTCTATTGTTGTTAGCACGTTTGACTTTTTGAATCATACAGTTGATATGGAGGTGTAGTTGAAAGCACGGTGTATTGAATGGTTTAGAGAGAGCACATCTTTTTAGTGTGATTTTTACTTTCTCTCCCTATACCATAGTATGGAGAAAGTAATGTTTTCTTCAAAATTTTCGAGTTTGAGTTTTGAGTAGTTGATATATCCGTTTTGGGCCCACCTGAGCCCGAAAATAAGGTTTTCGAAGTGACGTCTGTGTGTGTGGATATTTACAGAGCTACAGACCACACATGTAGTCCGATTTTGACGAAATTTGGTATGTAGTTACTAATACATGGTATCTCCCGGGAGGCGTTTTTTTTTCATTTTTCGGAATGTTCATTTTAATGGTGATTTTTCCTATAAAAACATGAAATAACGGGAAAATTGGATATTCTCGAAAATGGACCGAACGATTTAGATAACGGAAACATGTAAAGGTTAAAGGATGAAACCATCGGATGAAAAACTTGGGCAATAAAAGAAAAAAATCATATAAAGATAATTTTTTATCATTATTAGGAAAGTGTTTATGCCAGTTTACTTTTGGTCCATTCTTTTTGGGACATACTTTAGAATAATTTAATGTAATAATGCATTTCTTAATAGAAT